GATTTGTCTTAAAGGCCTTATGAAAAGATTGTTACTTCATGGTTTTTTGGAGTAGGGGGCAAATGTATTCCTTTGGTGAATTTAAATACAGCTCTGGGTACCCTCTGATACCACCACTGAATTTTAATTCCAATTCCTTTTGTTTTGAGCTGTGTATTTTCCATACTGTGCTGTTTTCTGTTGTTTGTTTGTTTGTTTTTTGGCACCTTCAGTTTCTTAACCATCTTAGATCTCATGGCCTACCATTTCGCCCACTTGTTTTCTAAAATAATCAAATGTTAGAACATTTAATAATTAAGTCTAATAGAGTCAAATATATGGCTAAACATTAGTGCTATATCATGTCTGTTCTTCCAGAAAACAAATATCTCACAGACTGTGGTAGTTTGAATGTAATCGGCCCCCATAATATCATTGAGAGTGGCAGTACTAGAAGGTATTGCTGTGTTGGAGTGGAAATGACCTTGTTGGAGGAAGTGTGTCACTGCAGGGACAGGCTTTGAGGACTCTTTTGCTCAAGTTTCCCTCAGTGTGAGTCAGTTGGCTTCCTGTTGATGGCAAGATATAGCACTCTCAGTTCCAGCATCACATCTGCCTGCACGCCGCCATGGTACCCCTCATGATAATGAACTGAACCTCTGAAACTGTGAATCAACCCAATTAAATGTTTTCTTTATAAGAGTTACCATGGTCATGGTGTCTCTTCACAGCAATAATAACCCAAACTAAGGCATAGATTCACCTCTGACGTTAACCAATGAATTGGTCTATAAAAAAAGGAAAAAAAAAAACAACAAATAAACATGACAATAGAAAGGAAACACTATGGTGGTAGAACACATGTCTAATTTTCTTTTCCTATTGCTATCATAAAGTACTCTGACAAAAGCAACTTAAGGGAGAAAAGGTTTAATTCATAGTTCAAAGTCATAGTTTGGTATGGCATAAAAGTTAAGACATCAAGAAACTAAAGTAGCTTTTCACAATATACATGCATGCTGTCTCCACTCTTAAACAGTACAGGATCCATGGGTTAGAGGATAATGTTACCCACAGTGAGTGGGCATTTTCCACTTTGATGAATGTATTTAAGATAATCCTACTAGAGATGCCCAGATGGCCAATCCCCAAGTTCTTATCAGCTTAGCATTTTAACACTAATTATCACAATTCTCATGGATCTGTGATTCAGCAATTTTTGCTATTTTATTAAATTTTTATTTAAATTAAGACGATCTTATTTTGCATACCAATCCCAGTTCCCTATCCTGTCCTCCTGCTCCCCCACCCCCCATCCACTCCTCAGAGAAGGTGAGGCCTCACTTGGGGAATCATAAAAGTTTGTCGAATCATTTGGGGCAGGACTAAGGCCCGCCCCCTTGTATCTAGGATGAGAGAGTACCCTTCCATAGGGAATGGGCTCCCAAAAGCCAGTTCATGCACAAGGGATAAATACTGGTTCCACTGCCAATGGCTCCATAGACTGCCCAAGACACCCAACTGACACCCACATTCAGGGGGCTTAGTTCAGTCTTATGCAGGTTCCCCAACTATCAGTCTGGAGTCCATGAGCTCCCATTTGCTTAGGTCAACTGTTTACATGGGTTTTGCCAACATGGTCTTGACCCCTTTGCTCATCACTCCTTTCTCTCTACAACTGTATTCCAGGAGTTTGGCTCAGCACTTAGCTGTGAATCTCTGCTTCTGTTTCCATCAGCTACTGGGTGAAGGCTCTATGATGGCATTTAAGGTAGTCATCAATCTCATTATAGGGGAAGGGCATTTAAGGTAGCCTCTTCACTATTGCTGAGATTCTTACTTGGGGTCATCCTTGTGAATTTCTGGGAATTTCCCTAGTGCCAGGTTTCTCCTTATGCCCATAATGGCTCTCTATCAAGGTATATCTTTCCTTGCTCTCCTCTGTTCTTCCACCAACTAGACCTTCCTGATCCCTCATGTTCTCCTACTACCTTCCCTTATCCCCTCCTCTACATCTTCCCTCCCTTCCCCCTCCCCCACGCTCCCAATTTACTAAGGAGATCGTGTCCCTTTCCCCTTCTCTGGGGGAAAGGGGTCCCTGAATGTCTCTCTTAGGGTCCTCCTTGTTTCCTAGCTTCTCTGGGGTTGTGGATTTTGAGCTGTTTATCCTTTGCTCTGTGTCTAATATCCACTTATGAGTTAGTGCATACCATGTTTGTCTTTCTGTGTCTGGGATACCTCACTCAGGATGGTTTCTTATAGTTTATCCATTTGTCTGCAAATTGAGGATGTCATTTTTTTTTCCGCTGAGTAGTACTCCATTGTGTATATGGACCACATTTTCTTCATCCATTCTTCAGTTGAGGGGCATCTAGATTGCTTCCAGGTTCTGGCTATTACAAATGGAAATCAAGAAACTAGTCACCAAAACACCAAATAATCCAATTAAAAAATGGGGTTCAGATCTAAACAGATTTCTCAACAGAGGAATCTCAAATGGCCGAAAGGCACTTAAGGAATTGATTAACAGGGTAATACAAATAAAAACAACTCTGAGATAGCATCTTACATCTGTCAGAATGGCTAAAATAAAAAACATCAATGACAGCTTATGCTGGAGAGAATGTGGAAAAGGGGGACTACTTTTCCATTGCTGGTGGGAATGCAAACTTGTACAGCCACTTTGGCAATAAGTGTGGTAGCTTCTCAGGTTAAGTGGGAATTGATCTACCTCAAGACCCAGTAATTCCAATCTTAGGCATATACCCAAAGGATGCACACTCATACCACAAGGACATCTGTTTATCTATGTTCATAGTAGCATTATTTTCAATAGATTCAGCAATTTTTCAGACTGATATGCATTGAGTCAACACCATTCTTGATTTTCTTGACCTCATCTCCTACACTTCCTCCTCCCAACTACATTCTTTGCCCCTCTTATCTACTAAATGTCAACACTTGTCATATTCTTCACCCAGCGTCAACATTCTCCAGAAATATACTTTGTTCTTTAAGCTCTTCTAGATACATCTAGATGCATAAGACTTGCAGAGCAATCATTAAAAGAGGAAGATCTATTATAAAACATGTGAATTTAAGTGGCCCAGAATTTTCAGTGTAAGATAATGGGAAATGTACAGTTTGATCTAACTATTGTTTTATAGGAAGAAAAGAATTGATATGTATTCTCTGTAGGAAAACAATTTGAACACTTAGGCTCCCATGAGACATGATGACATAGTAGCTCAATAGAGAGGCAGGCATAATGTGTTTTGTGTGTCTCTTGGTGTTCCTTACTAAAATATGAACAGTGTGTTTTAGGGAAACTACTGACACAGTACATTTTGAATCAGTATTTCCCAGAGCTTTCATGGGAAACAAAATTGATGAATAGTGTAACCCTGAATCTATAATGGAGAAGCTTCTTTATATAGTAGACAGAGATGAACACAGCAACTTACAATGGGTCAAAGTGCAGAAAGTATGTGTCTATGGTGTTCTCAGTCATAAGTGGGACATCTATATCATACCTCCACCCAAAACTCAGAGAACATAGCAAAACAGAAGGCAGAAAGATTGTAAGAGCGAGGGCTTGAGAAAGCCAGGGTGAAGCAGTCGGCTCTTGATAGGAGATCAAGCCAGTCAACCTTCCAGCATGGAACACCCAAAATAATCATTGTATGATTATTGCTAAGTATAATAATTATTTAAAGCTTATTTCTATTTAGCTCTACCCCATCTTAGGAGCTATTGGTGGTAAGGGCTGCTAGGAAAGAGTCCATTTTCTCAATGAGTGTAGTTCTGATAATTTGACTGTGCTCCAGTGAAGGCCCCCATTCCTCTCTGTATATGAGCAATACAAACAGGACTGAGTGGAATCTTAAAAATAAGGAAGTAGAGTTAGAGGTAGACCCAGGAGGAACTTGAGGGGCATAAAGGAAGAATATGATCACTATACATATGTGTGTATGAAAAGCTCCAGTATTTGATACAATATTAAATTGAAAATTAGTCTTATATAATGCTCTGTAAAAATAGCAGTAATAATTTGGAGTAATGTTGAATATTTTGCACCCTTCTCTCAAATATTCACAATGCATATTATTTTACTTTAAAATCTGTGACTTAGTCTTATAATGGAAAAAAAAACTAACTTCCCTAAAAAAAGCAAATATGTGCTCATTGATGTCTCTCACATCCCAAACTTTATTTTTCTTAAAGAATTTTACCACCTGTCTTAGTGACTTTCCAATTGCTTTGCAAAACACCATAACCAAAGCAACCTTTTAAAAAAAGATTTAATTTGGGACTCGGATTTCCAGATGGTTAGAGTGCATGACCATCATGGTAGGGACCATTTCAACAGGCAGGAAGGCATGAGCTGAAACAGGATCTGAGAGCTTACAACTCCATCTACAAGCACAAAGCAGGAAGAGAACTAGGAAGCACCTGGGCATTTGAAACCTCAAAGTCCACCCCCAGTGACACACCTTCTCCAACATGCCCATACCTCTTTATCCTTCCCAAAGAATTCCACCAACTAGGGACCAAGCATTAAATATGAGTCTATGGGGTCATTCTTACTCAAACCATAAATATATATATATATATATATATATATATATATGTATATATATATATATTCTAGTTTTAACTCCATTGGCTGTTTTCCTAGTATAATATGTACTCCATGAAGACCAAGACCCTGTTTTTCATATTTACTATTATATTCCTAAATCCTAACACAATGTCTAGGCATATAATAAATGCTCCAAATAGGGATAAACAAGTGCACAAAACTGTTTTGTCTTTGTTAATTTTGCATTTTCCAAATGATCGAGAAAGCATAGAACCAGGCTTTGATAAAGTGATGCCTTTTTACCATGTGTTTTTGACACTGTGGAGTTTCATTATTCTCCAGTTGCCATTACACTGTTGTTCTCAATATTTTCCTAGGCATTCGTTCCTGTCTGTTACCTTTTGAGTCTTGAACTACTGTCTTTGTTTATATCTTCCAGGCAAAGACTGCCACCTAAAAATGTTTACTACTATCGCTGCCCAGACCACAGGAAGAATTATGTGATGTCCTTTGCATTCTGCTTTGACCGAGAAGATGATATGTACCAGTTTGCTTACTGCTACCCATATACATATACTCGTTTCCAGCATTACCTTGACAACCTACAAAAAAGAAACATGGATTACTTCTTCCGGGAACAGCTTGGACAGAGTGTGGTAAGGCCAGCATCATCCTTGGGGTCCCCATTTGGAAACACTGAATTGTGAATTTGGCAATGGAGTTTCATAGAATATAAATGATGAAAAATAGTGTTCTACTATTATATATAGTGGACTATATACAAATATATATATGTAAATTTTAAAATAGTAAATAGAAATAAGCTTTAAATAATTATTATACTTAGCAATAATCATGCAATGATTATTTTGGGTGTTGTTTTGGAAAGTATGATTCACTGCTCCGAGGGCACCAGACTGTAAGAGAATAAGGTTTTGAGACAGATGGTTGTCGTTATGAAGGGAACTGAAACAACACTCTTTAAAGAGTTCTGGAGAATCCCAAAATCACTGAGAGAAAAGAAGGTGTCCACTTAGGTGCTCCAAAGGTCATGAAAGCATTATATGATGGCAACACTGAATTTGCTTCGGAGTGAAACCAGCTCCCTTGAGTACAGCTTAGCCACTAGTATGCTGACTGAATGTGCTTGCTGTCTCTGTCCTCAGATGCTTCCCAATCTCAATTTCAATCTTTGGTTTCAGTTTCCTGGCATAGAGATTGTAATCTTCTATTACATATTGATTTTTATCCATGGATGTGAAAAAATATTTCAAATTGGATGGTTTAAACCAAAAATTATTGACTTGGAGGTAAAAAGTTCAAAGTAGGACTTATTGGGCTAAAATGATGGTATTAGCAGATCTGCGTTCTAGTCAAGGCTCCAGATACTACACTGATGCGTCCCTTTCATCACCAAGAAGCTGCTTGTATCTCTTGGTTTGTAAGCTCCCTTTCATTTTGAAGCCAGCAATGGCTGGCTGTGTCTCCCTAATTCTCATTCACCTGACTCCTTCTTTCACTTGGAATGGTTATTATGATTGAAAAGAGCTCACCAAACCAGTCCTTCTCATTGTCTTGAGATTCTTAAATTAATCTTACCTGTACAATGTCATAGTCATGCAAAGCAACATATTCCCAACTTCTGTGATTTGGCATGTGGTCATTTTAGGAGGAGGTTGAATTATTTTCTCTTTTTGTCTTCCCCTATGTTTTTCCCCTTCAAAAATAAGAATTGGAAGTTTTTTCTGTTCATTAACTACATGGGATTCCCTCAATGTGTTGATTGGAATAAGCAAATAATAATTTGGTTTTATGGTTCATTCTGTAAGTCTGTTCTGTGCCCTAAAGCAGAAGTACTGAACAGTCATCAGAGATTCTAAATAAATACACTAATGTATTTGTGGTTTGGAAGACAATACTAGGACTCCTGGCATGTCATGGTGGTGAAATGGACTTTGTTTAGTGCCCTTGGATTTCACCTGTAAGTCCCACTTCTTAATATATTTCTTCAAAGAGAGAAATAGGAAGGTGCTTGTGTGACAAATACTTGAGAGCCAAATTTATCATGATGATAATCTTGTACTCTGAGCTTCTCTATCCTCTAAGATATTTTCATAAGTCTCTTCCCTTTGTTATAACATCCTTCCTAAAAGTGCTTCTGGTGGGTTCCATTTGTATCTGAGACCTGTGTTTGGGCACATGGTGTATCAGTCAGCATGCTGACAAGAAGCAAATGGTAAGGTAGGCTCAAGAAAGACTACTTAAAAGCTATAAACAGTATTACAAGCTATAAACAGTATATATGGAAATCTTGAGATACAGTGAAGTTTTCAAGGGCCAATAATAGGTCAAAGGATATGAAATTAGGAAATGGTTTTCTGAACCAAACTATAGAGTCATTTAGCAGACTACTTGGAGAAGGAGAGTGATCTTATGTAAGACATATCAGGAAACAAAATGAGGCAATAAATGCAGTCATAGATTTACTAGTTGCAAGAATAGGTTCTGAGAAATGCCATCTTAGTTTATTTTGTGAGAGCTTCATAAGATGTACTTAGACAAACTAAAACAGGTATGCTATTACTAGGTGATATAATCTTTTGGAACGACCAGTGACTGTGTGTCTGCCATTAATCAAAATGTTGCATATAGCATGACTATATGTAGTCTTAATTCTGCTACCTCTGTCTGGAATCCCACTAAGGCTCCTTCCTGGGCAACCCAACCATAATGTAAGAGAGCCCATTGATGTGCCCCATACAGATCATCTGCCCAGGGAACAAATAAGGGTGGAGAAGGAGAATGAATGCAGAGTAAAAGAAACATATTAGACACACTTAATCCTATTAATGACATGACACTATTTGAAATGGGAATGTTAGAGAGAGTCTAAGGTAAATGTTTATTAGATATATGAATTGGTAGATAATTTAATAAAATAAACTGTCCTAACATTTATGCATTTAAGAATAGAATGTGTTTATTTCTCTCATTTGTCTACAAAAAACCCTCATGAATTTATGTGAGACAAAAGATAGGTGCTCACTTGCTGGCGATTGAGTGAATAATTGCATTAACAAAATAATGACTTAAGATACATGTTTAAG